ATATAACCATCAGTGCTAATTTGTTTAGCTCCCCCAGTTGTCACAAGTCTTGTTCCACCACATGGCAAATGGCAGCCTGCACTGACTGAATTTACTTTAGCAGTTTCAACAGCTCTGAGTGAGCTGGGGGGAATCACAGCCAGCAAAATATGTCTGAGGAAAATTTTTCCATGGCACTTTTGCAGAAGGGCTCCAACCAAAGCTGCCTAGTGATGGATCACCGTGCACTTCTGAAAGTGAGAGGATAAATAGGGAGAGTTTTCTACAGCACATATTTTGCACGTGCAGTTATGTTCAATGCAATACACAATATAAAGCTCCAGAATTTTCACCTCTGGATGGTACTTCATAACTGCAGGCAAAATCAGCCAGGTACTGAAAAAGGCTGCATAAAACATCAGAGCACTATAAAGTTTCTAAAATCTGGATTACTGAAGAAAAGCACACTTCAAGAAAGTGGAAAAAAAATTGTTTCCCTTTTCCCACTCCACAAACACAAAAAAGAAAGAAACCCATTCTGTCTGAATAACAATTACCTGCATGGTATGGAACAGTCCCCTCGGAAATGAGTAATTTTCTGATTACTCATTTGCTAATCTCTCTATACCATGTTGTATGTGAACAGTTCATAAAATTCTGATCCTCTGGCATGTGTTTATCTTTGGGCTCGACCAGATAACTACATAAACAGTTTATAGAAGAGATTATCTACAGTTACGTGGGGGAATATTTGCCCTCTCTGTTTTAGGTGGAGAAACAATAAGGGCAAGCATATACTTAGCTAAAAAGAAAATCAAAAGCAGCAGAGTTTACCCAGCTGGCAAATGGTATCAAGTACACAGAATAATTGCTGGATTTGTGTGGATTGATTTTCCTGACTATCCCGAAACAAACAAACCACTTCAAAACACTGAAAAACTGCCATGCAGAGCAAAGCACAGGAAGAGAACAAACTTCTAAGTGCAATTTGTAACTGCTCCAAAATACTTTGGAGATAACATACATAACCGAAGGACCTTCAATGAATGCCTGGACAGACATGTTCTTGCAAGTCATGTTGGAGCAGTCTAAAAAATCACCAGGTTTTGTCTCTCTGCTGAAGGCTACCCTTGCAACCAAGATATGGTAACTGCCCATTTGCTCTACTACATGCAGAGCAAAATGAATCATTACTGAAGGCAGTAAGAATGTTTGTCTACACACGTAGTCACAGGGGACCATTTAGTGACTCAGTAATCATGGAATTTTACTAATTCCATAAACATCTGAGAGCTTGGATTTTTTGATTTCCTGCCACTTGACTATACAATAGCTGGAGAAGCTACTGTATCCACCCCTTCTTTCCTCACTTTCCTATTAGTGCTGAAATGTTCACTACACCCAAACTTTTGTTTTCTGTTAGACCATGTATCAATACCATAAACTAACAACTGTCCCAGTTTGAAAGGCAATCCTCAAGCCTAGCTCTTGATATGATGATGAACTGAAGTGGCCAGCAACTTTGGCAACACTGACTGAATAGGTTTGGTGAGAATTCATATGGTGAAGGCATCAAGTAAGCCCCACCGGGATTCCTGATAGAGGAAAATACTTAGGTGTTCAGTACTTCAGTGCAGTTGGCAATGAAAAACACACACTGCCCAATTTTGTTTCTCAAACATCGCGGCACACGGAAAAACTAACTGAAATACTAAACACTTTTTAATGCTTCCTTTCACAGCTTTTCTGTCATTACTGTTGAAAAGTTTATTTCTCCAGGAGTCAAGATCTGTCCCATTCCCAGCCTCAGTCAGACAAGTTATTTCAGCTAATAGTTAGTCAAATATTCATTTCACTGACCTGTGCAACTTTTCAGCCGAGTCCAACCACATTTATTTCAGCTTCACAAACAAGCATGACTTCTTTTTTCAAGTAAACTTCTATACTAAGCTTTGAAGTTTGAATGTTACCTTTCAGTTCCAAAATTGCAACCCTTTTATTCTTAATTGCCCATTTTTCCTCAAAAGTTTTTTCTTTTATCCTTCAATGAGGATAAAAGACAGTACCTTACAGTGAAATAATGTCTTATATGTAGTTCAACAGATATTCTGAGAACCTTTCACACCACTACTCAGAGAGTCTTTTAAAATATCTATGGACCATGTCCAAAGAGTGTTGGCCTAATTCAAGTATTTTTACTACCCCATGAAACTGCAGATATGCTGATTACTGAAATACATGGTGGATTTTTCAGAAGGAACCATCACGATTTAGGCCTCCACTGTCACGAAAACAGAAATTTGTGTTCTATTCTTTACCTTTGATCACCCAATAATGACTGACATCTGTATATACTCTTACTAACATTTTATCTAACCAAGAAAACTTTAATAGGCAGCTTTAATGCAAAGAGTAATGTTTTCTGGAGTGAACCCTGATAGGATTTTCAAGTCCAACTGAATCTTCAAAGGATATGCATTTGACTCACAAAGCTATGTCTGTCAAAATGATAAAAGTAATTTTTAATTTGGTCTTCTCCCAGCTGAAGAACTGAATAAAAAGTAATTCAGTTATGTGACAGGGTGCTCATTTGCTCCTATTTGTCGCAAGACAAAACCTGTCACAGAATTTTTAATATAAGTTTTTAACTCCGTCGCTTGGAGTTAAAACCTCTTACAGGAATGCTTCTGTGTCCTTTTAAGTGCAACATCCATTTTAAACTCCATCTGGTTGCATACAGACCCATTCCTGAGCTCTAGTCAACTATCCTTTTAAATTCTTTGACTTCTTATTGACGATTTATCACTGCAGAAAGTACAGATCAGAATCAGAGCCCTCCTGTGGGTGGGAGCACTGAAAGGACAACAGAGTCTCTATCTGAGGCTGAAATCTGGTTTTCTGATGACTCTGTCTTTTCAATTCTGCTGCAATTCATTCACTGCTCTCTATTTAGAATGAGTTCTGACTGGAGCTCTAGGCAATGCCTTAAAAGATTTTTCTATTGCTCAAGTTTCATGATGGGGTAAAAAGCTAAGCTTATTTTATGAATTTGAAACACACTTGATCTCTCCAGAGCTCCATGTTAATAAAGGGTCTCTCATGGGTTTATTACAAAAATACTCAATGATACCCTTTCCATCAAATGTAAACAGTTTACTTGGTCAATCCCCCACTAAAATTTGAGGCATCTATGTAAGGAAGTGGACAATTCAGTCTGTTTAACAGGAAGCCAGAGACCTCTCAAGATTTACAAAGGAAGACCGAAGCTTTCCTCTCTCCACTGACAGCACAGAATAAAAAACAGAGATGTCAGGCTCCTCTGTCCACTTGGGATCCAGTCTCTTGTTCTGAGAGTGAAATTTGCATTCCTGGATGTACAGTTGGTCAGGTTCAACAGAAAGAGTAATGGAGACTCTTGCTCAGTCTTGTGAATCTGCTGGGATGTGGACATGTAAATTCAAACTCTCCTAGGACAAAGGCCTACATCTCCATGTTCCCTCTTTCCTCCACAAAAAACGTGTTAGACCTAGTAGAATACTATACAAGAGGAAGTGACACCACCAACAGGGGAGTCACTAAGTCCTGATCACCTCTGGCTTTTCTGGAGGATATGGGCAGAATACAGCATCCTGTTCTCCTTTACCTGCATCTCAGCAGTGTTCTGGGCATGAGACAGGTTCTTTTCCCCTACAAAAGGAGCATTTTGGATCTTGCACAGGTAGTGAAAGTGAGGGAGCTGGGGAACTTTCAGCATGAATTGCAAGGTACTTGATACACTGAGACAGGGTGCAGCTACCTAGGAAAGTAGGTGGATTGGATCATCTGAGATTTAAGTCTGAGACTCAGGTAGTGGGGCAAGCAGGGGGTTGGTGCCTAGCTCTCAGTTGTTCCTTCTATAGTCAATGGACAGAGAATTGTTCCTTTGAAGGAAAAATGAGATCTCAGATGGACTACCTTCCTTCTGTCCATTCTTCACTAATGACAGAAGAATCCAAAAGAGTCCAGACTGCAAACTGCAGTGTTCAAATAAGTGCCTAAATTTTAGTGGGATGAATTCAGCACACTGGTGAATTATTGGAACTGATTTTTTTTTTCATGGTTTCCTATTTTAAAAGTTTTTCTGGTTTGTTTCCTAATCTATGTCATAAACAAAACTTAAACTGTTGGAGAAACTGATAGCCAAGTCCATCAGAGCCAATGCACAAGTTTTAATTCCACATAATTCAACTGTAAGATGTTTTCAAGTGCCGTGCCTACACAGCTGCAGTGCCAGACTTTAGTAATACATACCTGGTCAGCACAGAGCACAGTCACACTTCCTTTCATGGCCTAGGAGGCAGCTTTCCCTATCCTCTGACAATTAACAGATGACACCGAGAATGCTCACAAAGAGCAAGTCTGAGAAATTCTCCGCTCGAAGGCAGTGAGAGCTGCCACACCTCCTTATAAGAAAGTATTTGGCTCCAACTTACACTTTTGCCAGCATTCTGTTAATGCTCAGCTCAGGTTCTTTCGCCCATTAGTTAAAAACAGGATATGATTCATTATACCTATGCCTAGACTAGATGTTATTTCTCTAATGCTAAAATGGCCCCTGAACATCTTTCAGTCTCAGTAGAGTAGAAACCCTGCAAATATTCAAATGGATGAGATACTTTAACACCATTAACTAAACCTGTTACGTTAAGAATAATCTGCCACTAAAGCTGTTCAGAAGTTGAGAGTTATAACACAATATTTTACTAAAGCTGGTGTGGACGTACAGTCAGTTACTGTTGGTGCTTCAGGCAATGTTTTTTCAAGAGACCCAGAGCCTCCTCCACAACCAGTGAATTGACCCCACTGCTTTCTCTGATGTACAGTAGATTTGGAAAATCCCTGCGAGGCAGGAGAATGTCTTTATGCCTGGTTTTTATTCACATATTTACTTCTACAGAAAACTCAGGAAGACAGCACACTTTAAGACACCTTAAACATCAGTCAAATAAATGAACAACCATACAGAAACAATGAATCATTACCTTCCAGTGTTTCTCCCTCTCCAGAAAGGGCCTCTCCGGCTCCGGAGGCATACAAGGCAGACACAGTCAATGCGTACCTAGTGGCTTGGTCCAAGCCTTTCAGCACTTTAGCGGTAGTGTCGCCTTTCACAGTCACTTCTTTAGTTTCACCTCCTGCGACTGGAGTGTATGTTATAAAGTACTGCTGCACTTTGCCAGGAGCAGCATCCCAAGTCAGCTTCATTGTTGATGTTGTAGCATCAGAAACTCTCAAATTTCTTGGATTTCCTCGGACTGCACATGTCAAAAGATGGTAAAAGCAAGTTGAAGCAAGCTTCATTTCTAGGTTTATTTTTTAGGTTACCCCAAAGTAGGACTTAATGCTGCAAAAAATAATACCTGAATAGCCTGCACTAACAATGTGACAGTATACCTTTACTATAATCAGGATTGTATAATCACATCTCCAACCTCCTTATGCAAAAATGCCCAATAAAGTTATTTTTGCTCCTATTTTTTTCTATTAAGGCAGGCACAGTCCTGGAACACTTGTACATACTAGCACCTGAATATATGTTCAGTTTCAACATACCAAGATCCATGTCAAAGTCATTGTCTACAGAATCAAGTCAAAGATCACCGATTAAATGTGAAATTAACACATTATGGCTTCCTACAGAGTTCTTTTTGATGCTATTTTCTCACGTTTCTAAGATTTAAAATCTCAGTGAAGTTTCACCAGTGATCAGGACATACATACTGTCTCTGTACTCTTCAGATTTTGTTTAATAAGACATGATGCTTTTTAAAGGATCATACATTTTTGTACAAGTTAAGGGTACAGTGATAACTTCAGTACATCAAATGCTTCATTCTTTCATTGCTAGCTATTCAGAACACAATGCAAACAGGGTCTGAATTAGCTGAAAGGAAATATAATTTATACCAGTGACAATATGAAGAATCATGAGGACAATTAAACATATAGGTAGATTCTTCACCCAAGTTACCTTGCCATACTAGGTGTTGCAGATTCAACAAACTATATTTTAAAATGAAATGTTACAATTTTGATAAATTATATTGTCTAAAGTTACCTCTCAACTAGGCTTGAGTAATTTTTAATTCCCTGTTCATCTGGGATAATATATATGGCCAATATAGGTTATTCTCTTTTCAGTGTGACTACGTCAGCATGTAGCAAGATCTCAAGCTTACTACATTCACAGCACTGATCATGTACCTTCATCAGTTTTTGCATATCCATTCAGAGAATTCCCAGGCCCAGACTGATACTCAGGAATAACAGACACTTCATATCTTGTATCTTGGATCAAATTCTGCAGCGTAGTTGATCTTTCATTTGCTGAGACAGTCACTTGTCTCCTTTCTCCTCCAGTAAGTGGTCTATATACAAGCCTGTACCGTAGGACATTTCCTGGAGCTGGAGTCCAGCCAACTACAAAGCTGTCAGTCGTTTCATCTGTTATCCTTAAGTTTCGAGGAGCACCTTTAACTACAAAAAATATAAACATACAATTTCTAAATATGTGCTTTTAATCAACTAGGATCTGAAGTGAAAGCATTCCAACCATTCCGTTAGCACATCCAGTTTACCAAAACAACAGCTTATATTGCTCTCACATTGTTTTAAGGTACACAAACCACAAGCAATTTCTGAAAATTTAGGGCCAGAGTTACAATCAGCAGTGCAACAAAGTTGTCCCCAAAAGTACATTAAATCCAGTTTATACAACTGCTTCTGAAACTTAAGACAGTCTAGCTGTGTTCAGCCGTAACAGTAGAACCGAACTGCGTAAGGGATGTTTGGGCATAGTGGGGAAATTTCTTAACACAACAAAACATACAGATAATTTCCAGATACACCTGACTAAAACAGGAGAGCTGTCTGTGTGTAAAGAACTGACCAAGGTAAATGCAACGGGGGGAGGGGGGGGAAAACAAAAACCCACAACCAAAACAATTCTATTTCTTTAAATTAAATTTTCACTACAAATATTACATTAATTGCAATATGAGCTGCATCTAATGTTTAAAAATGGCTCCTGAATTAAATCTCAAACACAAAGGCAAGAAATAGCTTGTCATTACAGAAATTAAGGAAAAACTGTAGTGAATCATTTAATTTAGCCTGCTCCTTGACAAAGGATACAGCAGCTCAGGGCATTTCTATGAGCTCAGTGGGAACACCAAAGAAGGACTTGATTCTTCCAACATACATTAAGATCTACCATACTGCAAGCTGGCTAGCAGCAGGTAGCATTGTCATTAAGGCACAAGAAAGTTTTGGGTTTATTTTTTACTACCTAAAGTATATTTCAACTGGAACATTATATGCCAAAAGCATTCTTCTTCGGTGTTAAATTACAGACCTGTTAAGAGTGGAGCAATTAATAACTCTAGCTTTAAAGAAATGAACTTATTTTCTACTAATCAGAAACACAATACCTAATTACAAATTCTTTTAAGCCTGAAACCAAGGTTAGCTGCCAAGAAAGCTGTCTGGCCCAAACTGTTAGCTAGATCTGCATGGACAGCTGCTAAAGTTTGCAGAACAACTCTTGTCTTCTCAGCCACGTTGGGATTTCATCAGATCAAGATGCTGACAGTTATTTAAGGCAGCATCAGTTACAACGTGGGAACACTGATTATTTTTTATTAAAGCTATTCCTACTCCTGACCCTTATGCTCACAAGCTACATATTCTATCAGCCAAGAGTTTGTCTGTTTTCCTAAGGGAAATTTATGTGTGGCCAAAACATTGACCAGTGCAGTCATGGAAATACGCACTCCAACAGTAAAACCTGTATCTTCCAAACTTAACATCCAACTAAGCTATTTTGTAAATGTGTATTTCTATCAGTCCTAAGAGGAAAGAACAATTAACAAATTTCCATGCTGTTCCTTTTACTCCCTAGGAACCATTTACGTCACCAAAGGTCACAAATGACAGCGCGGAATAATGAAAAAGAGTGGGTCAATATTTTAAAAACCATGATTTAGATTAGAGTGTTCAACTACTGGAATAGAAAATCAATTTAATGTCATCTTTTAAATCAGTGGAAATGCATCATGGCAACTGTATCAAGAAAAAGTATAGCTACCATGCTTAAATTTACAGCCATGGATCACAAACACACACTGACATCAGTGGAAGTTTTGAATCAGTAAGAGTTACTGGATCAGAACCATGAAGTTCTGAATAGAAACAGCTGGCCAAAAACTCATCCCCATTTAAGCCTATGGTATATAAACCAGAATTTCTGTTAATGTAGATTAGATGTGGACACAGCAAATTACATAAGTACATGCTTGACTTTAAATGTATTAAAGTCAACATATATTTCAGCATCAGAGTCTTAATTATTAAATAGAATAACATAGTTCAGTTGGAAGGGTCCTACAACAATCATCTAGTCCACCTTAAGTGTATATTAAGATTAATACACGCCAATGAATTTGTCATTGACAACACACCACTTTATTCGAAAATAGGCCACTGCAGAGAAACACAGCATCCATCCAACTTCCAGGGAAAATAAAATACAGTCTTAACAACTTAAAGTTGTTCTATTATGGGAATTTTATATCTTTACTAAATGCATTGAGATACAATCATGTCTATTCTCATGCTGCATACCAGTACAGGTTCTCAGCCATAGCTGGCTGTTCCACATACACCCATTATCTCAATTAAGCACATTTTTTGTAAACATATGATTTTTGTGTTTGAGAATAACGGGAAGCCTACCTTCTAAGGTGGTTTCCTCTCCATCCAAGGGAGGGCCATCACCATCTTCATATTCAGAAATCACACTGACTGCATAAGTCGTTTCAGGGAGCAAGTTGATGAGAACTGAGCTAGTACTTGAAGCTGGTACTGACACAATGAATTCATCTCCACCGACCGCGACTTTATATTTAATGAGATACGACAAAACCTCAGATCCAGCTGGAGACCAGCTCACTTTGAAACTGTCAGATGTTACATCAGAAAAGACCATGTTCTTTGCAGGCACGTAAGCTGTATGGAAATAAAAAAAGACCGATGAGGGATACCTGCTAGAATATTCTTAACACAAAATCTCTAAAATAAATGAAAAATTTCCCTCAATAACTTAATTTATTCTAACTGAGCAGATATTTTATGGCACATGTAACAGTATGTTTTCTATACTTGTTATAGCTATCAAATTTCATGAAGATTGTATCTAGGTTGTCTCAAATCCTATGAGAATGAGTAGAAGCACCAACTCAGTGATTTCTAGATCAAATGAGAACAGTACATCTAAAAGAATGCACTTATGAAAAGTTAGAATCTGATAATCAAGTCGTGTTCCCTCTTTCGTATGTCCCATGAGCAGCAATAAAATTAGGTCCTCAATGGGAACTAAGAATCCTTGGGTTTTTGCAGATCTAGATTAGAAATAGAACAAAATAAACTCCAGTATTTTTTCAGGAATGGAGTCACAGGGGAAACAAGGAACTTGACATGAGGCACAAACACAAACCTGACATCCTGGGCTTGTTTTGGTTGGCCTAGTCAGCCTAAAAGTGGGAATGTTAAGATTGCTTGAGCCCTCTAAAACAAAGGCTGCTTTGCTGGTTTGTTCCTCAAAGCTATCCTGAAACAAAAGGCTTACTTTTAAAGAAAGCGGGGCTTTCAATACTAGGGACTATTCAATGTTATTGTTGTACTCAACATAGGCAAGGACACTGAGGGCACAACTAATTGTAAGTAACTTTAGCTGACCAAAAGCTGGTCATTTAGAAATCTTTTAAATATACATTACGCAAGCTCACTAAATTTGGATGCATGTGAAGAATTTCATGTGTTACTTCATTTAAGTCTTTACAGTTAGATTGAGATTAATATCACCTAGCATCTGCTGTCTCAAATTTTCTTATATCAGCCCATTTCACCCTAAAAATTAATCAGATCACCCTCTGGAGATGTCAGCATTGCTTCATTGTCTTTGACATTCTAAAAGAAAAGTTTAGACTAGACTAGTTACCTCATTTTGGACAGCTAAAGAAGAATGTTCCTAGTAACTCTTTTACTCAAGACATTGACTGTAAAAGCAGAGTACATCCACTAAGGTCATTCTAGATAGACATGAACTTTAATAGTTTTCTAGGTATCTCGGAGGGGAAGAAAAAATTTATTTCTCCAATAATTTTTTCATATCCATTTTTCCATTAATTTCCCCCATTGCTTTTAATATGATGGAAAGTAAGAACCAAATCCCTAGTTATTAATACTATCATTTGTATATGGACAATTGCATCAGTTTCGGTTCTTTAGGTAACTATGAGCACAAAACATTGGTTCATATCTTTTTTCATTGCATTTTCTACATTTCTTTAAGTAACAGCAGTTACTTACATTTTTTCCTTATAGCAGCCAGTTCCTGCTCAATCCGTAGGCAGACAGATTGTGTAAGTTCAAATGATATTCTTTGAAAAGCATCAAAATCTTCTACTTCAGGAGGTGATGCGATTGCTTCTAACTCTGTCCGCACTGCATCCTTCACACCAACTGCAAATATTTCTACATCTGCATCCCTCAGCTTTATTGCAGGTTCTTTAAAAGCATCTGACGATTTTCCATCAGTAATAAGAATCATGACTCTCGGCACATTTGGTCTTGATCCTTTGCTGGTAACAAATACTTTCTCCCTCACATATGTCATCGCTTTCCCTGTGTTGGTAGATCCACCTCTGTAGGGGAAGGTGTTAATAGCCTGAATTATATCTTCCACTCTGTTGTATCTGTTCAAAGAAAACTCCATATGGGGATCTCTGCTGTACTGGACAAGACTTATCTGTACTTTTCGAGGCGATATCTCAAAGCTTTTAACTAACACTTCCAAAAAGGCTCTTACTTTAACAAAATTGGCGATACCAATGCTGTAGGAACCATCCACTAAAAACACAACATCAGCTTTTACATCCACACCACGTGAGCATTCTGTAAAGAAAAAGAATCACCACTATAAACTGATCTTCAACAGCCACAGCATTACAGTTCGTGTATCATGCCGGGTTGCTTATAAAGGAAATAAACCATTTATGTTTCTCATAAATAATAAAGGTATGATATTAAAACAAGCATCAGAGGTTTCAACAACAAAAGGCTACTGTGTAAAAATAACATAGTAGCTCCTAACTCACCCACTTGAACTTTTACTTGTTGTGTTTTTTCCATTATCGTTACTGGCTCACTGGGAGTCAGTCCTTTCATTGCATAAACATTAATCTGATACTCTGTGTCCGGAGAGAGATCTTTAACATTCAGAGCAGTAGTCTGAGGACCCACACTCAGTACATGTTGTTTTCCACCTGCTATCATCGGAATGAACTGCAGCCGATAGCCAGTTATTTGGCTAGTGGATGGATCCCAAGTGATCCTAATAGATTTTGAGGAGATCTGAGTGGCCACTAGATTTGAAGGAGGCTCCACCACTGAAAGAAATCAAAAGCAAACCCAAAATATTAATTACAATTATAAACAGATTTTCTTCCACATTTTTATTTTTGGAATAAATTTCGTTATTTTTGCTTAATCTTTACTAAAAATCACTCTTTTGTTTTAGTATAAACGTAAGTGAATTACAGGACAGTCCAAATGAGGCATCAGTAAGAGGGTAGAAATATGAACACTGTATCTGTGGTCCTCCCAGTGTAGTAGAATTTGCAGGAGAAATTCTGTCTTGCTTTAATACTGTTTCAAACAGAAGTGAAAGCTACACCCACAGAAAAACAGCAGAGAGTGTGAAGAAATGCAGACCTGAGCAGAGCACTTCAACAGTGGAGTCCTCTTTTCTGCCATTTTAGTCAAAGAATAGTTACCTAGAATCTTGCAGGAAGGGCCAGAAAGCTGCAGTGATACAGTTTGACATCTGTTTTCTCAGTATTCTCCAATTTTCATTCCTTGATTCTTAACCTATTACATATTCTGCCCCTTCACCAAGCAGTTTTTTCCACTTTAGTACATTTTTCCATAGAACTGATGCCTGTGTCCAAACTGACTGTATGAGACTCTGATAACTGCACACCATTGTGTTGTCCTTGAAACTACGGAATAGTGGAGCTATTCCAAATCTACTGCATGACATGTTCTATTCTCTTGCATTTAAATGCACAAAGCTCAGACCTGTTTTCCACACTTGTTGAATGAGGCAACAGATCAAACTCCAGAAATAAAGCAAAGGAAGTAAGGATAACCCCTGAAATACATATCAGAATAAAGTGAAGTCAATAAATATATTTATATAAAGTATCTCACCTTCTTCTCCACTAACCAGTTCCCCTAGTTGTTCATCAACACCGGAACAGACTTGCAAGATAATTTCATTCTGAATATCCACAATCCCATCAAAATTAGCCACATTGAACACGTGCTTCAGTGAAGGCTGAGATGCAATTAGCTTGAGCTCTTTTGCATCTGCTGCTTTGATTCCTAGAAGTTCCAATAGACAAGACTGTGTTAAGTGGCCATAAAATACAGACACCTGTGAATTTATTCAAAAAGTATCATAGCATCCTGGAGTAAAGCTTTAATAGAGTGTGGTATCTTCACAAAGCTATAAACAGTGTGGTATCTTCAATAAGGCCAGTGTTTGTCAGTCCTCTTAATCATCAGACAGGAGCTTCAGAATTACTATCAAATTAGCACAACTGATATGTTCCATTCTGGAGGGCACAAATGACCTTGAAAGAGTGGCATAGCGAAATTCTTGAAACATAGAATCCAAAACACATAACTAACTTCTCTAGGAATGTTAATCTCTCAGTAACTAGAAAAGCTCAACATACCCAAAGAAAAAACTTCAACTCCTATGTTGCGCAGCTCTCTTGCGGGAATTTCGACTTCATCTTGAGCTTTTCCATCCGTAATGACAATTGCTACTTTGGGAAAGCCTTTTCTTGCTCCAGCAGACTCAGTGAAGGTGTTCTGTACCAGGTAATCAATAGCCTCACCTAAAAATAACACCACCAGTAGTGTTTTATTAAGCTTGAATTAGGATTTAAACAAATTTGAATTATAAAATGAAATGCTGAATGAACATGTATGTGGGAAATCTGTACCTGTCATTGTGTTGCCACCTTTGTAAGGTATCCTTTTAATTGCATCAATAAGATCACTTCTTCTGAAATACTGATTTAAATTGAACTCTGTTCTTGTATCGGAACTGTACTGAACAACTCCAACTCTCGTCTTTTCTTCCCCAATGTCAAAAGCTGATACAAGGGCCACCATGAAGTCCAGAATATATATGAAGTTATTTCTCCCTACGCTCCATGAACCATCTACCAGGAAAACTAAATCTGTCATTGCACTTATGGAGCATCCTGGAACACAAAAAGAGTAAAAATCTCTGTTACCAAATGAGCAATTGTATTCTTGCAAATCAATGAGAAATGTCTGACATAAACGTAGTAAAAAGCAAAAAAAGTAAACTTGGGTAAAAGCTAAAACAAACAGATATTTAATAGATTTATATTCTTATCTGGAATATCTTAGTGGGGAAGTATTATTTACATAAGTGAACATCCATAGAGGCCTTCTAGCTGCCATTACCAAAAGGGAATTGTCACCTACAAGTCTAAGACTGAGTAGTTTTTCAGACACCTCTCAGGCTATTCCACAAGATCTGTTATGCCACAGCAGATGAAAATTGGCATACAAAACATTTTTGCAATAGTTCGATGTTATAGGAACATTTCATTTTGTTACCACTTTGGCTTTGCATCTTTATCTCCCCATAACAGCTGCCCAAGTTCATCTGCAATGCCTTTTAACCACACCACAATGTCTTTTGTTAATAGGACTAAGACACCCATGGACTTGGTCATGTTAGTTGCATGAAATTCCTAGTTTCAGTACCAACTTTGCACCTTACGCTTTCAATGCAGCGCTAAGTTCTTTCCATCCCAGACTCTTCCCAAGTTCTCTTAACTCTGGACAATTTTTCAAGTTAACCTCATTGCTAGGTACAACAGGAATATGGTTTAACTTTATGGGGGCCTAGAGCCAGACCTCACTTATCTCTAAAATGTCAGATAAGTAGAAAGAAAAAACACCTTACTTTGTAATTGAGTCTCAACCTTCTTTTCCTCTGGTATCCCCGGACCACCTGTCTGAACTGCACAAAGAGAGAATTAATGGAGGAAATCAGGTTAAATTTGTAAATATCAAGGAAAAACATATAGAGAATGAGAGACACCAATCTGACAAGCCTCAGAACATTAAATGCAAGTTTTGAATACATCACCTGCACTTAACAGAAGTGACAACATAGCATTCAGGGCAACACAAAATACAGAAAAGGCAAATAATCAAGAATCATCTGTATTTGTACATCCTGTACGGTAATTTCCTGAAAATTAACTGCAACATCCCTGGATGAAATACCGATATTACCCCTCTCTAACACACAGGGGAACTCATCATAAGTCATTTTCCCATGGATGTTTGAGAAGCGTGAAACATGCAACAAAATGTGCCATAGAAGATAGTCTGCTGTGCTTAACATTTTAAGTAAATTAATTTTATGTGTTATTTAATTATTAAATATAAATTATTAAATTCTAAATTTCATATTTTATTATAAATATAGATATATTGTGTCACATTTTGTTGTTTAATGAAGGTACTTAGGTTTTTTTTCTTTTCCCCACACACACAAGAAGCCCATCAGATTCATCTGTTATTGTGATCAATGAGAGTCTTCCCCTTGACTTCATCAGATTCAAAAGAACCAGTGGCCTCCCACAAAGAATTCTATAGGGGTTGTCAGAACCAATATATCCAAGTTAGTCTCCTCTTATTTCCTGCAGATTATCTCTGCTTCTACTAGGAATTATGCTTAATGGGAAAAGGCTCTTCAGACAGCTACATCTGATCACAGTTTAGGTATGTAGCAATTTTGTTGAGGAACTGGAACAAAGCCAAATTTTGAGAATGACTACTCAGTTATCTTACTTGGTTTTCAAATTGTATTGCAGGTACTTACTTGTCAGTTGGCCAAAAACAGGTAGACTCTCCTCTCTTTCATCATATGAAGCTATTGATACAACATACTCTATATCAGGTATAAGATCTGATAAGACAGTTTGGGTAGTACTAGGTGAAAGAGTAAATTCTTTAGTAGGCCCATCTGCAATAAATATATAAAATAATTAATACAGCCTTTAAATCCAGTTATATCAATGAAAAGTTGATTAAAATATGTAACAAAGAATAATCTATCTAAAATCCAATTATCTTTTTAGAACTATGTACTTTCTCTTATCCTGAAGTATGAATTTTGAAACATGAAACTTCAAACCAACCTGTTTTCAATAGTGAACAAAATCACTGAAGTGTTTAATAAATTCAAGGAAATTAGAAACTTCGAATGTACATACAAAATGTACTATCGTCTAACAAAACATGGTCCAATTCTGATTTGATATCACTTTTACACTAATTATTTCTCAAAGTGAAATAGAATGACGTGTGTCTCATACAGCCATTATCAGGAAGTTATATGATGTCACTGCATCAATACCTGACACACGTGATATTTCCCCTGGGAGAAGTACTTGAATGAAGTACTATAACTTTCAAAGCATAGAAGAGGTGCAGAGTGATGATTCTACCTCCTTTTTGCTCCTTGCAAAGGAAAGGCATCCAAAACTTATCACTTGCAGTCCCCAAAGAGTTAACACTATGGTGAGAAAAACTCTAACTTGGAACAATCACTGCTCTTTCCTGTATGCCCTTTGCTGCTACCCAGTCTTGACCACAAACTTCAGGAAGATGTTAATAGCTACTCTCACACCTAAGTTAGATGTAACTGAAAATAAACCTGTTTTCCAAAAATGTAATGACATAACAAAATTCTACAGAACTCACCATTTGTTGGAACCACAGTTATCCTGTAACCCACTATTGCATCTGGTGGCCTTTTCCATGACATTTGAACATTATGTTCATCTATAATTGTAAAATTCAAGTCTGATGGTGGATTAACTGCAAAAGATTCATACCAGGTGGATGTTTAATAGTTTGAACAAGCTTCGGCAAATGAATAAATAATGTTGAGCAAAGCTTACTAAAATTGTCTTTGCATAAATTTGTTTCCAACAAATATAAAGATATGTTGTTGGAAAAAGAGTAAAATAAAAGCTGACAAAATATGACAAAACATCAAAGAGTATACGCATTACAGAGGACAGCACAGAACATATGTTTCTTGAGTTGCCAAGACATTCAAGAATGGCCAGCAAAATCAAGCACAATAGAAAACACATTTGGATACATGTACAATGAGTTCACAGATAATCACCACATATGCAAACATTTCACATAACAATTAAAGGAATTTTTTTACATGCTGGGTGCAATCCGTACAAGCATGCCAAATCACAACCTGCTTACAATATCATGAGATCATTTAGGACATTGAGAACACAATACTCTTCTTAATTAGACATCAAAGAATTGATCAGCTTTTTATTAAGGTCTCTGCATGGCCATATTTCTTATTAATTACACTGCATCTAGAAACATAGCAGAGAAAAAATATATATTAAAGAATACAGGTAAAGATTGGGTGTTTAATGTTCAAAAAAGAATTTCTGTTACGGTCTAGATATGAATATACATATAAAATGTATATCAGTAATAATGATATACTGATGTATTGTTTAATTTCAAAATACAGAGAGCTCCACCCCTTTGTTCCTAAAAGCCAGTAAAGTGATATACTTTGCAAACGGCTGCAAAGGGCTCAGGAACTAAGGGGATAATAAATAGGGTTACTGATGGTTGCAATTTGCTAAAATATTTGAGCTGATGCAAAAGTTCACAAAAATAAGATTCTACCTGTTTACACCAGATATTGCTGTACAATTTCAAAGGTGTAAACTGTTGTTTGTATGTTCCCTTTGTAGCAGGTGTACCCATACTAGTAGTGGCATTTTAACACAAAATGCCAGTATGGTTCCAAACAACACAATGGTTAATTATGAAAAGACAACATCAAAGTATATTTATGGACATTTATTTTACAGAGTTTATAGAAAACAGTAAAGAGGGCACCAGTGATCTGAAAAAATGACTACAAATAAAACTTGTAGGAGCTGATGACAGAAGTAACTGAACAGTACAGAAAGAAATAGTTTACATACGCTATTTTGCAGCATCATGCATATGTAAATGAAATGTTGATTATTATTTTTTTAGCTTCCCACAATGGACAAAAGCCTCCATGTACAAGGTTCATTACACAAAGACGTTTCATAAATATTTTATAATGATATTCTCTTTGTAAAATTGTCATGCTTATTCATGCAGTATTTTACTGACTCACTGTCAGTGCATGGTAGGTGTATTATATATTATTGTTTAAATAGGTCTACAAAGTAAGATTAGGTTCAGCCATACTTTCCTTAACTACTTGTAAGACCATTTTGCAGGCATTTTAATAAAGAGATATTGTCCGTTCCATAGAAGACTTCCATCATATGTCAGAATTTGTTTTAATTTTGAATGTAATTTAAAGAACAGATAAAGAAATAAATGCTAGAATATATGTTTATGAAAAAACACTATCCAATTGCAATAATAAACATTGAGCTCAAAAAAAAAAAGGGAACAAATTGTGTAGGCATTTTTTCCCTTTTAATTTACTGTCATTACCAACCATAGGATAATATGGCTTTGTAATACTGATACAATAGGTACACTAGTATTGAAGTAAATGTTATTTTTCCTATTGTCCATACACAGGCAGTGAGATTAGACCATTAACCTGCATGCACACTTTATCTGTCATTCAGTTTATGAGTATCACGATGCTACAGACAGCAGGGTAGTTACTTAGTATCAAAACCATGCAACACGTGTTAATAGCAAAATACATTTAGGTGATAAGAATATCATTATAAAATATTGTTCCAGTAGCAATGGCTCAGGACAAATTTAATGCAAAGGCAGAGACAACTGACCTGAGCATGCTTTTAAAAAAAAAATTCAGTACATGGAAAAAATAGCACCACCAACCTTGCAAGTAAATTGGCATGTTGCAGCAGAGACTTTAGGCTTTAACTGCTGAAGGACAGCAGCAGCCCAACTTGTTGATATCCAAATGACCGGATTCCAGATAAACTGAAAAAACTGACTGTGAGGAGAAGTCTTTAACATTTTAAAGGATTCAAATCTGTTTTGTGAAAATTCAGATGTTGGATTTTGGCAGGTAACAAGAATAGTACACTGATACATAAGTGACGTATCCATTCATCCAGGTGTTCATGGCCTTTTAGACCAACAGCGTCGCAGGGGACCTCAGAAAGTTCCCTCGTCCATCCCATGGCCAAGACATGATCATTCCTGACATGTCATTCCTGACATGTTTGCTCAGATCATTCTTCAAGACCTCCACTGCTGGCAAGACTGCCAGCTTCCTACAGAAATTATTCCAGTGCCTCAGTCCCTTTATCATCGTAAAGTTATTCCTGACATCTAACCCCAGTCTTCACTGCTGCACTTTAAATCCATTCTCAACCTATAGCTGGCTTATCAAACTCCAGCACTGCATACTTTTCCCATTAAAATCCAAAAAGGAACCTCGCCTGAGTGAAAAAAAGCCAGTTTGGATCCAAAGTCATCAAAATGTCTTCCAGATGGCCTGTGAGCTTTTGACACTCAAAGAGAATCTCAAAAAAAATCCATTGACCTTCACATAGGTCAGATTTCACTCATGTGAAACTGGCTGTGGGGTGAAGACCAATCCATGGTCATATGACTGAGAGCAGTAAGTCAGTCTGAAGTACAGCAAAACTTTTAGATGATAAAAACCTTATTGTGGTTATCAAACAGGGCAAGTGTCACTGCAGCTTATTAAAATTCTTCTTCCAGAAGGGAATTCACTAGTGGAAAAATAATATATCTGCAGTATGGAACCAGACCAGACTTCTAGGAACAAAACACCCGTGATTGTGGTGGGAGTTTGTCCCATAACAAGGACAAATCTTAAAATTCCACCCTAAAAAGGCTTCTGTGTGAGTGCAGCTTCACTCAAGCAAGAAGATTTGATGTCGGCTACTTGTGTAAGTGAAGTTGCAAATTTGCTTACAGTGTAGTGACACTGCTGATCAGTCTGATCCTGTGTCCACCAAAATCTGTGCCAAACCTCTCACCGACTTGTCAAGTTACAGGATCATGATCGTAATATGCCATGATATTATAGTATTGATTTCATACAGTGATCCCACTGTTGATGCACAGAAATGTGCAGCTCCCCTTCCCCCCTCCAGAGTAGTAAAAAAATATCTTGCTGTATGACAATAATGTTTATAGAGTGTTAATTTCCACTGCTCTTAGAACTATGATAACTTCCTTGATCAGATATCCTATCTTATGCACCACAAAAGAAAAAAAAAAATCAGGAAAAATATACTTAATTCACTGCTACTCCTTGTGTTACATACGTGTGTAATAACTATATTTTCTGAAACAAAAAATACAGAGCAAGGCACCTTTCTCATGCTATGTATGTCTTATACTAATTTGTATTAATTAACAGGTAATACAGACCTGATGGACAAAAGTCTATGGCTTTTTACAGATTACACAATGTGACTGCTAAATGATCCCAACGAATATCTTAACAAGACAGAAGTAAAATGTAATCAGAAAATCAAGCAATTTAAATCCAGAACCAGGAAAAAAGTGATATAACTAGGAAGTAGCTGCCATCCACAATCCCCATGTCAAACAAAATCTGTATTGCCACCACCGGAAAAGACTCACTGTAATTACCATGTGAAATAACATGTTAGCCCATGTTAAAATAACATACAGGCCGCAGAATCTGAAGAATAAGCCCAGCCTTCCTCTCACTGCAATAAACCCTGCTGAGGCTGGAAGAGGCCAAAACTCCTCCTTTCCTATTTTCTTCATATATGGCGTGGATTTGACACAGCTAATTAGATCACAACCCCAGCCAAGTTCCTTTGAAGTCAGGGCATTGCCAGTGTGCCAATTGCTACAGCCTAACAATGTAGTAAAGAGCAGCTTCTCAGCCTTGTTAGATATTCATTGCCAGTCACAACACAATGCCACCTGTAGGTCTGCCTTTTTCTTTGTATTCTATGCATGTATATGAAATTTCTTCAAAATACAAGATATATAGCTTGTAAGTGTATTTTGAAAAAAAATCATTTAAATATATATACCTATACATATAAAGGTGTATGTAACTAAAACTAATTGCATATATATATACTCAGACTGCATGCACGAATATTTACCAAATTGTAAACATGTTTGTGCATCTATATGTATGTGTGTTGGTACACGCACATATACCCTTGCTTCTAATTAGCAGTAGGAAAAATGAGGAGTTACAGTCACCTTCATGTATATACAAATGTCAATTTCACACATTAATCTACATTGTCCTCTCTTTAGGAACTGGGAGACCAACAGCTAGTTTCTCAAAAGATAGAAATCAGAGGTCAAAAGGTAAGAAAATAAAGGTCCCGCCAACCAGTTCCAAAGGTGAAAAGGTGGTTAACTTCAAAAGTTTCAGCTACCTCGGATCATGTCTAAACCATTCAGTCAATGAAAATTGTTGTACCCAACTCAAGCTATATTATATGAGAAACTTTCTAATCCTCTGTAATTGCTGTGCTGCAATTATTTGTCACTTACTGTATAGCATGTCCCAGAGACAGATTTTTCATCTGACAAAACTTTTTTCTGCGTTACACAAAGGTCCCACGATCGGCACAGTGATGGCCACATTCCCTACCTCCAGTCAAGAAAACAGACATTTCCAGGTCTGAACCAGTTCCAAAAACACTGAAAAGTCAGCACCTTCACAGGCTCAGTGGAGTCACACAGAACCAATGATTTCTTCATTCCCTTCCTGTGCCTTTGAAAATCCCTCTGCATTAGGAAACGCAACATGCTACACAAGCCATGACATCAGCACAGCATTGCCTCACAATTGTAACAGGTTATTTGCATACTAATCTCTTGGCTTAACCACAACTACCATAATATTACTAACTATGACTAAACATATTTCTTATCTAGCAAAAGGACATAGATTTCCCTCTGTATCTTTGTGATCACAGGTGGAAATAGTACTGTGAAAGAAATCTTGACACGAGGACACACAGGGAATGCACTGGAGTCTTGCAGTGCTGGACTAAAAAGGCAAGAAACAACTTAGAGCATAAAATATAGCATCGTGCACAAGAAGTGTAAACTGAGGGAGAGACGTCAGAAAGATTGCAAAATAAAACAAGAATTTCACTGTGTAAGAGCAAAAATGCTGACCATCAAAACAGAATTGCTTCCTTGTCTAGGGTAAACAAACAACTTCCCCAGCGAAATGCCATGAATGCATTTAGACTATATGTTGGTTTTACCCCCTTTACTGCTACAGTGATTGTCCAGCTAGAAATCCCTGCATTGCTGTGTCTTGTAGAAAAGCTCTAACAGCGTTACTGCAGCAGCTCACTGACTTGCCAACAGCAACAGAGCATGGCTCTCACAAAGGACTCGCAGACCAGCTGCGATACTGACGAAGAACCAGTTTCATCCTGGAAGATTTAGGAATCTATGCACAGCGGTATCGGATAAACACCAGATCTACTCCCATGGGAGGCTGAAAAATAAAAGCTGAAGGAAGGCTGAAAAACAGAACTAGGCTTTTCCTTCCCTGTGCTTTCATGGTATCTTCCCACTCCGTATCAACAATATTTACCACATCAAATGGCCCTCTCCCTTATCCTCCTCTCACTTTTTCATCACACCATGCCTACCCACACCTCAGGGAAAGAAAATTCAAACTGAATTTCTTGTGAGCACCACAGACAGAAACAGAGGAACCAAAAAAAAAAGAAAAGAAAAAAAAAAAAAAGAAGAGAGGGAGACCAGACTGACTGATGGTCAAGAGCTTTGTGATGTGATCTGAAAGTTTGAAAAACAGACTAAAGGATAAACATCCACAGGACGAAGTCAGTTCAGCAGAAAGGACTCAAATTGTAATGATACCAGAACTAAAGGAAATAAGATCCAACATACAATTTACAAGATGACGCAAAAATCGAAGCACAAAATTAAAACAGTGCAGAAAGACGACCAGTACAGTGCAAACAAAAAACACACTAAAAAAAAACTCTATGCAAGCAGTTCCCATCAGAGCAAGTCCTAAGGTACTCCTAGCTTTGAAGTTCCATTTTCCGCACTGCTATTTCTCACTGCATTTCCTACTCAAGACTCATACTACAAAACTCCAGAGCTAGGAAAAGTTTCTCATAGAAACCTGATCCCTCTAAACTAGGTATTTTGTTTAATACACATTTCTGAATGCAGAGTAATGTAAGTCCTGTGCAGGAGTGCTCTCCAACTCACAAGATCAGGCTTTGTCCACTCTTTTGCTTAGCAATGGCTCATCCTTCAACATGGGATCAACACAAGCTAGGCCAGCTTGTGGGGCAATGTGTCTAGTTTTGCTATTCTAAAACTACTGTGTGCTTCTCCAAATACATTTTTGTAGACTTCATTAACAGTACTCAAGCTATGAATGGTTTAGTCCAAACTACAACTGAATAAAACATTTTTGCCTACATTTGAAACAACCTACTCCATACAAATAATCAGTGGTGCAAGACAACAGCAACATTACTCCATCTCCGAGTGAGCTCCCTCCTAAGATGGGGAAGAACGCGCAAACATCTCCACTCCCTTCCTCCATCAAATCTGTACACTTTCTCTGGCTCATCAGTCCTGCATTTCAAATGCAACTCTGAAATGACTTCAAATGACCTTTTTCAGTTCCTCATCCAACAACAACACAGCGCGAGAGGGAGGCAGCAGGCTGATTCTCTCCTAGGGTGACCAGATGTTGCACTACTGGCAGAAATGTCATCTTTTTCCAGAAAACCAGTGTACTTTACATCTGTGTGCCCCAGGCAAGCACAGTTGCTGGGGAGGCAAATTCCTCAGATGCATCTCTGACACCCCATGCTTTTAGCAGCCATCACCCAAGGTGAACAGGTCCAGACACAGAAGCTTGCAGCAGGCCACAATCACAGAATTTGTTTCAGTTTGATACAGAGGGAGAAAGAAAGGGAAAAAAATTAATTATCGGTTTTTTGGCTTCTGTTTTTTTCCAGTAAATCCAGGGGGAAGTCATACCCAGCAGTTTGGTTCACCCAATGATAGAGTCATGTGCTGGTGGTCATATCAAGTCATTCCAGTGCAGGACATTCCCCACACAGCCACTGCTGGAAGAAATACCGTTACTACCACCAAAGCTGTGCAGCTCACACAGAGGGCAACATGGGAGGATGTCCCCATACTTGCTGTTAATCCACCAAGAAGACAAATGTGCCAGGGCCAGACCATTTTGAGCCATGCTGTCACAACGTGTCAGCCATGATGGGTCTCCCCAGGTCTTCACCCCTGCAGCTACATGCAGGACCCTGCCCCAGGCTGAGAGGGACCTCAGACTCCAGAGAGGCTGTGACAGGGCCCTGCAAGAAGGAAGATAAAGCGAAGAAAGGCCTTTTTGAAGCTGATGGTGCCATATACAGGTCAGAGCCCTGGGGCCCTGGCTGCCACAGCAAGGCCTGGCCCAGGCCCTGCCACCCTTCTGTGGCACACAGGACGCGTGTCATGGCGGTGGCAGCATCTGACCTGGGGTGTCCCCCAGGTCAGACCAACGACAGAGGCCGAAGCAATCACCGAGGGAGGGTCTGGCCACCCCAGGGCTCAGCCGGGGGTCGCCCCGCTGAGCAGGGGAGGCCAGTGCACCGGCAGGCCGGTGGGGCGGAGGCGAGGGGTCCGTCACGGACAAAACACACAGGCGCAGAGAGCCAGACACTGTTGGAGCATTTTATTTCAAAGCTGCGGGTTGTTGGGTGGTGGGTTTTTCATTTCCTCTCTCAACATAACTAAATGAGACTCTACAGCGCAAGGC